TTAGATCATTTTCATTTACCTGAGGTAATGAATGCTATCCACACTTCTGTTTTACATTTTTGCTAACAAAAAGCAGAAACATGTTTTTACTAAGGAAAACTAGAACCTTACACATTACTGAACAAAAGTGTGAGCAGGCGAAGGGCAGAGCTGCACGAGCATGTTAAGCAGTTTGAGGCGCTTCTCTCTGTAGAATTCATGTGCTGGGTCACTCAGTCTTAAGTGCTTATCCAAGAGATCATAAAGTGGATTAAAACAGCCCAGAACTTTCAAAACATGCTGAGTATGTCATCCCTTCCCTGCCCCCCAAATATCAGCAGCATCCAGAGTAGTCCTACACCTCTCTGAGCACACTGTGGAAGAGGCCACCCAGGCAGCAGAGACTTGTGGAGGGGTTTGATACAGTGTATGTGACTTGGCTGTCCCAGAAGAGACCTTTCCCCCCTCTCTGATGGGCAGCACTTCCCCATGGCCTGTGGTACTTGCTGCATGCCCACCTCTCCTTGCAGCTCAGCCTCACCCCAAGTTCAAGTCGACAGGCCTTGGAGAGGGGAACCAGGGCAGGCTGGGGTGGGGATGATGCTTCTCTGCATGACGTGATGGTCCATGTCCACCTTTTGGCAATGGATTCCAATTCTGAAACAGCAGAAACAACATATAAACTACTTTTTTTGATCCTTTGACCTGCATTCTAATGCAATTAATAGCACTTGTTAAACTATGACGTGAGAAAGCAGCTCTGCATCTACAGCTGGGGATTCCTACCACTGTGAATGGGGTTTCTTCTTCTGCAGCAGTGCTTTCAGCCCTTCACCTCTGCATGGTGCGAAGGGCTCAAAGTTTGGGGCACGATGGGTCATGCCACCAGATGGCATGGACCCACCAGATAGGTCCCCTCCTCATGATACTTGAAAAGTGACATCTTTCTTTCTCCTTCTACCCCCATTAGATCATTTCCCACCCCCTTCATATTTTTGTTTCAATATTGATCTGATATTATTTGATCTGATATACTAAGACTAGAAAAAAGAAGTAGTTAAAGTAGCTGTTAATAAATGGCCAGGAGTAGATAACACATTTGAGAACATTCATCAGAAATTGTGACAAGAAAACACAGAATTGGGTTTGAGGTCTGTGTGTCACTGAAGCTGCCAGTATGTTCAAAAATTGCTTTAGCATGGCCCAGGGAATGCTAAACCAGTGGGACCAGCTACCATTCCTTGTGAGATGATACAGTCTGTGTCATCTCAGAAAATGAGATCAAGGGACATGTGGATGAACATAGTCTGTTGGAAGGTGTTGGAGAAGCTCCAGCGAAGGCCAGCATCACTGGCTTTTGGAGGAAGGGCAGTAAGTATGCCAATAAAGAGGGTCGTGTGGGCATAATAATCCTCTTGCATTTTCAAAAAGCCTTTGAGAAGCTTTTTGCAAAGCTTATTAAACTTTGTAAAGAAAATAAGTTGCCACAAGATTGGATGAGAGGTTGGTATTGGAGTTGAAAGCTGGTGTAAGAAGAGGAAGTAAAGGACAAGGCTTAGTGTTCACTCTCCGGGAGGGAGGAGATTTGTGCAGTCAGGGGATAATTCAGGTCAGAAAGGACCTCTGGATGTCATCTAACCCAGCCTCCATTCCAAGCACGTCTAATGGGCTCATGTTGTGCAAAGACTTCTTCAGTGAAGTCCAATATATACCTCCAAGGACAGTCATTTCACAACTTGATACAAACACCTCAGAATTTTTGCTGTTTTTTATTTAATGCCTCCACCTGTGACCTCTAGAAAGCAGTCAACAGTGAAAGCTGTCGGGCTGGAGGGACAGCAGACTCTGGCTGGGAGTGCCTGTGCCATCCCTGAAATAGGCTTCAATGTACAGGAGGCATTGAACTTGGTGATCTTTAACGTCCTTTCCAACCCAAATAATTCTGTGATTCATGTAGGGAAGTTAAAAAAATGTGCTTTTCAGTGCTTCCTACACCATTATTCTGGCATGGTTATGCTGAAAAATACTAGCGGTCCTTAACATGGTCCCTCCATTCATTCCTTGCTTTCCCTCACACAGAGGGATTTTGTTGGTTGGGATGTGGCAGATGGCTACAACAACAGAAAATCTCCTTTTTGTTTGATGGTGCTTTGTCCGAGGAGAGGGTCTTGGCTGGCAGATCCTGCAGCAGCTGTGTCTAGTCTGGACTAGCACCAATGAAGCCAAGGCTATCATAGGTTATTTTTTGCAATATTAGGAGGAAACAGCTCTATACGGGAAAGTGTATTTTTGTTATTTAGAATTACCTTCTATCTCTGAAAAGAAAAACAAAAACCAACCAAACTGGAAATCTACCTCTACTGGAACAACATGGTTTCTCACACACCTAAAGCTGATACCACCAGCAGCTGCAGCTGTGTTCAGTGTGCACTCAGGCGATGAGAAGGCCTGGCAACAACTTTGATTTCAAGTGCATTAAATCTCCTCACTGTCCTGAAAATATAGGCCAGATAGTTCTCTGTGGATCAGTTCAAGGAAGGCCACATCTTCCACAAGGGAAAAATCCTCCTCCTTGAATTGCCTGCAATTAGGGCCTCGCACTGGAAAATAGCATTCCCCTTTGTCATCGAGGACTGCAAATTTGTTTTGAGTGCTTTATCTGAGGTACTCACTGGAAAGCTACAACGGAAATGATTTGAAACAAAACAATTATGTTCCAGTGCAAACTGCATAAGACCGAATATGCAATTGTTTCCTGAGCCCTGTCAAAGACTCCCTTTTCTGCAGTTTAGTAGTTGTTTGTTAGCAGCAGTGGCAAATGCCTGCTGGCTGAAACGTTTGCCGATCACAGGGTATTCAACTTCCAGATTGCCAAACAGGGAATAGTCAAGAAATCCTCTGTAATCCTCTCAGTTAAACAATCTTTACAGCTTTCCCTTTCAGTGCCCATGTAACTTGCACAACGTATCTGGGGTAGGGGTGCCAAGCAACTTCTCTATTTGTGGTATTTATTATTCTGCCAAATTGAACTAATTTCCTTTCCTGTGTTACAATTCTCTATGTGTTTGTTTATTTGAACTGTAGTACACAGTCCCTCAGCAGTGCAGGCAAAAACAGCGTTATGGACCTACTTTCACAGGAGAACAGACAGCATTCTCATCCAATTTTAATGCTTGTTTTTCAAATGTCATTTGCAATCTTCTGATTGCTGGAGCATTAGTAAAACAGTTCAGTATTTAAGTCTGTTAAGTTTTAAGTGCTGTTCATCACCTGAAATGAATCCCACACCCACCACCTGCACACTTTGCCAGAACTGATACTTCTGTAAGTCCCAAATAGTTTCCCAGGTGCTTGAAGGAAGGAGTGAGAGGAAAACAAGTGTTTTCTGTGACCCTCCATTTCAGTTGGTACCCCTGTCCTTGGCGCCCTTGGGCAGGACTAGGTCAGCAGCAATGATTAAGCTATGTTAATTGGAGTTTGGGTTAATTAGGTCACTTCTCATTAGGACTGCCTTATTCACCAGCCCAGTTTCTCTTGGTGTTACAATTCTCTATGTGTGCGCACATCTGTGTATGCATGTGTATATGTATATATAATAAGTAGGGATGTGTGTATTTAAAGATACGTATATATGTCTGCATATACATATTTGTGTACACATTCGCATCTGCACGTATGTTTATTTCTTTAGCTATACCAAGTTACACTCATTAGTATTAAAAGAACTTTTCTCCCAAAGGTTTCCTCATTTTCAATGGCTAGACCATTACCAGTTCAAATTTAAGGATTCCAAGGGCTCTTCAGTGACCTTTGAAAAGTACACAAATAGACAGGGTTGCAAAATTTTGAGTGCTCTGAGTATCTTGACTTACAAAATTAACATATACTCAGTGTTTGGAGAGTACTGAGGCTTTGGATGCGGAAGATGATACATCACAGTCAGAGGACTCAGAAGATCATCTAGGGAAAAAGGCAGTGGTTCCATGTGATTGCCTTAACTCACCCCAGAAACATGGATTCAAACTTTACACGGCAGGAAACAAAAATATAACCTCCACCTGTCATTGGCCTTTTAGTTTTCTAGGCAAAGCTAGAAAAGCAGAAGTTGGAATGGGATAAAATGTGTGAAAACAACAATTATCTGTTGGTTTGGTTTACGGGTTTTTTTGGTTGTTGGGTTTTTTTTTTTTCAGTAGGCCCTGTAGAATTTGTAATAAAAATACAAATACCTTACTAGCATTCATTAGCAGATATTAATACTTAAGATTTTTTTAAATGGTCCTGCCAATCAGTACTATGTTGGTATAAAACTTTGGCAGTGACATCAAATGGCATCTCCTACATTTACCAATAGTAGAAGAGCGCTTTTCTCAAAGTATAGACTATTGCAGGCAAAGCTCTATTAATTATTCTGCTGATAATCGTATCAAGTCCTGTTTTGAACGAGTTCTTGCCTGTGGGATTAACAGTAGCATGTGTTCGCATAATAGAGTGTTGTTTATCAACTAGTGTGCCTACAATATTTTTACTTCTTTTGTTACTTTATTGTATATAGCAGTACCTGACAGAGAATATGACATTTTTAGGATGGATTTGGTATGTTTCCTGTGTAACCTGCTGACTCTGAGGGATGAATTAGATGATCTCCAGCAGTCCCTTGCAATCCAAACTATTCTGTGATTCTGAGATTTGTATTTGTTTTATTGTAATTAGAGAAATTATTTTTGAAAATAATGCTGTAAACATCACATGAACGTCAAAAATAGTTCACGGCATTTAAAAAATTATGAGGCTTATACTGAAAAGATAGATACTATTAATAAAAAAAAAAACAACGGGGGAGGGGGGGTTAAATAGAAGATCAGAGGATCTTCACACTGCTCTCTCCTCTGGCTGTGATGGTCACACTGGCAGCAACCTGGGGTGGGAATGTTGGTCCTTTTCCAGGGCTGGGGGGCAGCAGAAACCCGTCCTGCAAACACCCTCCCCGTGCAGTGCGGGACCCCGGGCTGCTTCAGCGCCTTCTCCTGCCCTGCTCCCCCGGCTGCACCTGCTCTGTCCCCGGCTCGCCCTGCCCCCGGCTGAGCTCCCGCCGACTGACGTCAGGATGCGATGGCCGTGACCGCCCGTCCCGGTGCTTCGCGCTCGCCGGCAGCCGCCGAGCAACGCAGCCACCGCTGCCTGGGCTGCTGATCTGCTCCTGCTGCTGCCACTGGTGATCCCGCTGCTGCTGCTGCAGCTGGCACTGCTGGTATTGCGACTGCTGCTGCTGCTGCAGCTGCAATCCATCTCCCGGAACAGCCAGCACCAAGTTCTCCAGGCTGTCCGCAGAATGCGGCAGGAGTCCCAGAGGTCACCGCAGCGAGACTGAGCGTGGACACCGACAAATAACAAGCCAAGGTCGTTGGGGATTTGTAAAAGCAACCTTTCCAGGTTTCTTTTCCGCTTTGCTCGCCTCACCCTGCTGTTGGATTTGAGATCATGTATGTGTTTCGATGTTGATTACAGGAGGGTGTTAAAATCTAGGGAGGGAAGAGGATTCAGAAGGATTAATAGGCTAGTTTTGATTTAAGGGGATTTTATTTTCATTCCCCTTATCCCTGTCCTTCGTCTTTATCAACACAACTTTGTCTTTATTATTTTTATTTTAGGTCAGTTAATATTGTAGCTTTTGGGAATGAAAGAGATGGTTTTTCTGAGGACAGCCAGCAGCCCAGCCTGATCTGGAGCTATCTCGGGAGAAGTGCTCTCATTTCCCAGATCGACAGCAGCTTGTCTGCCAGTCACGTTGGAAACCCAGTTTTTACTGAATATCAAGCCTGCGTGTTTGGAAATGTCAGACTGGTGGTACACGACTGTCCTATCTGGGTAAGAGATTGGTCTCAGTCTTCTTTGACTGCATCTAACACTGTAAGCTGTTTTAGTAAAGTGAAAATATATCCTAATTTCAAGTAATTTTCATTGTCGTGGGATTTTGTTAATATTTTAATTATTGCAAATAGCAAAACCATATAAGATGCAACCAGGCAAATCCTGCAAAATCTCAAAGGTGCTGCAGAAAATTTTCCCCTGCCCACCTGCCCTGCGGGAAGATGGTATTTTCAATTATATTGTTTAATGGGTATTTTATTAAAGATAATCCAGAAGTAAACAAGAATGCCTTTTTTCTGACACTGAATCATGAAGTGTATTTCCAGATATTTATCAACAATAAAATAAAACTTTTTTTTTCCTGTAAAAATCAAAAGGCAGTAAGTTTTCCAACTCTGACAAATGACAGATTAAAAGATTTGGTAACTTGCAAAATACAATGCGGGGAGTAATTTTATTTCTCTTACAAAGAATAATCACATCTTAACTTTATTACTCTTATCTGATGATAAATGAAAAAGATTTTGGCACTGTTGCAAGTCGTCAGCCCTTTTGTTAGTAAGGGAGATAACTTAGTTATGAGAATGAGTAGATCAATGCTTGTGTAAGAAACTATACTAATAATCTAAATTAAAACATATTTAATGACTACTTAGTAGCCTTAAAAAAAATTAATCTTAGCAGCTTTTAGAAATTAAAACAGTAACCAGTTTCAGTTCCATAATTCTATTCTTAGGGTGATTTTTGTCCTGTAAGGGAAATCTTTTTTGGGATCTGCAGGATCATGAACAGCTTCATGAAATACGTGATCAGAAGCTGTCAATCTTGAAACTAAACAATCCAGTTTAGCTGTCCTTCTGTTTTCTCTTTCTTTTTGCCGGTTGCACTTAGAGACACCAGTTCAGATGGACTGGAGGATCCTATTTCTAATCTGAAGCTGCATGTGACCTGCACATGCAATTTGCTGGAGTCACTGGAGCACAGCAACGAGTTAAATCTCCTGAATATAAATTAAGGCTGTAGGACTTCAAAGGCTATTTCAGAGGAATGGAGGATGGGAAGGGAAGTGGAAAGGCAAACAAGAATAGCTGGACAGGGGGAAGAAAGGGCCTAGATTGGAGACACAGTTGATGTGGTTTTATGTTGTTTTACTTGTATTTGCTCTTCTGCAAAATTAGGTACTTCGGATCCTTATAATTTTTGCCCTTCAAAAGCTAGCTTGTCATTGTCCGAGTCATTGCATTGCTGAGGCCTTGGGTTTTTTTCCTTTATCAGCTGAAGAAGGCAGGAGATATATTAATAGGAATATTGAGGACAAATTGGCATTTTTCTCTTAGTATAAGACATCTCAGATAGCCGGACTGGACTGTGCAGGAGTTATGCAGGAAACAGTGTCCTACAGAATAGGACTATTTTCTGTAGTGTGAATGCTTGAGGTTTGCTACGTCACAGTGGTTCTTTCAAGGCTCTTCCTCTGGAAGCCTGGGGAAACAGTACAGGGCAATTCAAAATGTTGACAGACATCGCCTCAAGTCATATTCTGCATGAAAACATAGAGGTTATGGTGGGCCTTGCATTATTTCCACCTCTTATCATCTGAGCATAACACAAAGGAAGTTTTTCATTTTGCCTAAAAGATGTATCTCATCTAAATTAAGTCATATAATTAAGGCAAGCCAGTTGTAGACTGAACACGCTGATAACGGTGAGGCTTGAAACTCCAGGGTGCCCAGCTGCTCTATTTGTCCTCCCCAGCCATCAGTCTGGAAAAGCAGTGTGGATGTGAGTTTACCGAGTAGAGCTCCCCATTGCATGAGGATACCCTTTTGTACGGCAGATCGTGGTACAGGGTATTTGCTTGAGTGCTCATTTGCTTGAGTTCCAATCTGCTGCTGGACATGTCTGTCAGCCCAGGGGTGGGCTTTTTGAAGAAAATACTTCCATCTGTGCTGCAGATTGCTTAGTAAGTTCAGGAGACTAGGAAGTTATGCAGAGTACACCCGTAAAATTTGTCCTGCTGCAGACCTGATAAGAAATTGCAGAGAAACCTTGAAAAAATGGGGAAGGCGCTGGTACGTGGTGTGGAGAGCATCACTGGGAATGGAGACTTCGTCTGTAAATGGACCCTAGAGAAGGATGAACTTTTCAGTATTCCCAATGCAGTTCTCTTGGATCCTGGGGAAATCCCAGGGGAACAGTCCTATGTTGTGATCAAGCACTGCTTGTCCATACAAAGAGTATTTGCTCTTGCTGCTGCCTCAGATCGAGGGCTGGGCCGGGTGGACATGGGAACATTTATGACTAGCTTTCAGAAAGAGCGTGGGCATTGCAAGGGGACTTGTGTGAGGAATTTTACTTCCACTCCATAAAGGCATTCATAAATTGTTTTTAACAAAGCACATACTGTTGTCTTGAGGGATCATGTGATTTTGTAGAAAAATTTTGTCTTCAGTACCTCTGAAGGCTTTATTTTCAACATTAAATCTTGAGAAGTGGGACTTACTAATGGCAAGAATATATTATGAGATACGTAGAATGGAGTCATGCAAGGCAAGAATGAAGCTTTATCCAAGTAAGTCCTGAGAGGAATAGCAACAGAAGTATAACTAATAAGGTCGTATTATAATAACCATAGCTGTGCTGTTACTTTTTCCTTTTGTCTATGGCTGACTTGGGAAACTTTGCCAAAAGCAGGAAGTATGATGGGGAAGAGCTGCTACAGGGATTTCATAGATGGAGCCTTAAATTAAGGTTATTCCTGAATCTGAGCTGTTGCTCATCACCTGAAGAAATTCCCTCTGTCATTTTTTGCACGAAAGGTTCTCTAAAAGTGATAATGAAGGAGGCTTCAGATGCTCTGTCTCAGTGATGCCTTGTGCAAATATCCCATTGTTGCTGGAGGGGCTTAAGGAATGTTAAATCTAATGTGTAAGGGCATACAGAAACTGCACAACAGTAGCAGAAATTGGGTGTCCTGAGATGCTGGGTTGGCACATTCTGCAGTTTTCAGTTCTTGATGTGCCCATGGCTGACCTTTACCCTGGGAAAGTAGGGTCCATCCCCACCAAAACTTCATAAAATTTTGTAAAATCCTTCTTGATAGGATTAACAGGCACGCATGCTTGTGGCACAGTGCACAGATCTCCACAAAGCAGCTATAACATGCAGCCACACACACACTTGGGAAGCTGTGACAGCCTCCATCACATTTCTATAGGATTTCTTTGTCCTAATAGTTGAACAAAAAGGTACATTTGCACTCCTGTGTGGCTGTTTCCAGTAAGGATTTTGCTAGTTTTTCACATACCTGCAGAGCTGGAAGTATAGAAAGTTGGGCTCAGTGCAAAAAGGATGAGGGAATCATATGAGGCAATGACCATATTTTCTTTTTATTTTGTTTTCCAGAACACAATTGCTTTTTCTATTAGTATTCTTTTCACTAGGAAAAAAAAAAAAAAAACAAAAACAAACAAAAAAAAACTCTTATGGTTTTTTTCCTATGTTATATTGACCTCTTCAGCCACTGTTTTGTTATACGCGAGCAAGCACATGCAGACAAATGCAAATCTCAGTGTGCTCTGTCGAGATTCCCATTGACAAATAACAAGCAATAGGATGAGATGAAACAACCTCAGATTGAACCAGGGGAGGTTTAGATTGGATATCAGGGAAATTTCTTCACCTGTAGGGTTGTCAAGCACTGGAACAAGCTGCCCAGGGCAGTGGTGGAGTCACCTGGAGGGATTTAAAAGACATGTAGATGTGGTGCTTAGGGACATGGTTTAGCAGTGGGCTTGGCAGTGCTGGGTTAATGGTTGTGCTCAATGATCTTAGAGGTCTTTTCCAAGGTAAATGATTCTGTGATTTTAAGAACTGCATTAGAGGTGCCACTGGTTGAGTGGCATGGAGAGTCTTCCAGGACAGTTTTACTGGATGATGCTGTCCATGGAGAGCCAGGATGAGGGCTTGGGCCAGAGCAGGGTGTGTGTCTTTGTGTGGGGGTTACCTGGTGTCCTGTCCTTTCCTGCTGGTGGGGCTGGTGTCAGGATGGAGCCACAGCTCAGTGTGCTTTGGTATACAGAAGCCCTACCCTCTGCTGTAGGTCAGGGCTAGGTTTATACTGATACTAAGCAGGAGAGTCAGAGCTGGTTCTTCATGTGGGCATGGCTGTGTTCATATTGACCAAAACCTTAGAAATCTTCCCGAAATCTTTGCTTTGTAGCATGAGATTTAGCTCCATTGTAAACTGGAAGGAGCTACAAATGATATAAAACCATATTACTACATGTAAAAGAATACCTGTTAAATTCTGTGAGAAGGGTCCAAAAACATCCTTTTTTTATTCGTGCTTAAAGTTGTGGCAGAGTTATTGTGTATTTGTGCTCTACGCCTTGCTTATGTTGAGATGTGTGGTTGCAAACCTGGGCTGAACTTGAAGACAGACAACAAGAAGGAAATTGCAAAGGAACAGGCATGCGTTCTGTCTGCCAACACAGAACAGCTAAATATTCTAATTTTTGCTTTGTATTGTATTTTTCCCTTAATCCTTTGTTGTGTTAAATGTATACAACCCTCCTGAAAATCCTCTGTTGGGGTCTTCATTAGCTAAAATGTACTAAAGCTGTCCCTTGGAAATTCTCAGTCTTTTCCTGCCTGTGTGACCAGATTCTGCAAATGCCCGCCTAGCTGGCTGTCTCAAAGCACCATAGCTGCTAGTCTTACTGCTAGAGATGCTAAAGTTGCATTTTTGTGTAAATGTTATATTCTTAACAGAGCCTAAATAATTCTATTAAATGCTAGTTGAGACTTTCCTTAGCCCAGGATTATAATAGTCTCTAACTGAGTTGTCTCAAAAATAAAAATACCAAGAACAGTGCAGTTAAAATGCTCTCTTGTCAACATGGTTAATCATATAAGAGCTGTCCTTGATGAATTGTTAATTGTGGTTTACTTATTCCAGAACAAGAATATCTATTAAAGAAATCAATGGCATGCCTATTATAATTTATCTCCTGACTTATTGCTTTGTAGAGGCAAGACCTGAGTTGGGAATGATGTGCACTGGCAGTGTAGGCAAATATTTGCTGACTTTGATTTCCGTCAAGGTCACGCTACTTCTTGTACTTAAGAGAATTGCACCTACGAGTGCAATCTCTACCTCACGAGATTTCAAACAACGACCCTTTTGAAGTGATCAAAAATAGTTTTACTGATAATGCAAGTCTCATCACTTGTTGATATTACTAATCTTTTATGTATTAGACTCCCATTACTGCTCTTATTCCTGTGACTTATTCATCAAAATTCACATGGATCCTCCCCAACCCAAACTTTGCATCCTGCTCTTTAATCACTTCTTTTGTGCTCTTTTATTCCTCCTTTTCATGTAATCTTTATTTCATCATTGCCAATTTCCATTTTTTTTCCTCAAGATCCCAAGTTGTTCTAGTTTTGCCTCATGTTGTTCAGGGCTGCTGCAGAATCACAGCATAATTTAGGCTGGAAGGGACTTTAAGGATCATCTCATTCCAACCCTCCCCTGGGTAGGGACACATTTCACTAGACCAGGTTGCTCAGAGGCCCATCCAACATGACCTTGAACATTTCCAAGGATAGGGCAGCCTCAGCTTCTCTGGGCAACCTGTGCCAGGGCCTCACCACCCTCACCTTTTGTCATCCTTATGGCCAACATAAGTCTACCCTCTTTTAGTTTAAAACTAGCTTATCCTATCACAGCAGGCTCCGTTAAAAAGTTTGTCTCCGTCTTTCTCATAAGCCCCCTTTAAGTATTGGAAGGACAAAAAGAGGTTTCTCTGTTCCAAGAGATGCCAGTATTTCTAGGGGTTTTGAGTTGTTTTTCAGTTCTCTGGACCTGTTCCAGATTTCTGTCAAGAGTTTTCCATTGATTTTAAATGCAAAGCCATGAGTTTCCCTGGTATTTCTGAGCTACCTATAGGTAAAGCAGAAATTGTGGAATTGTAGTTCCATGACAAATACACAAGTAATAACTGTGTATTGCATGTGGATACAGCATGGTTGTAAATTAACAGGATATCAAACAATTTTAGAGTGTAAGTCTTACAGTACAGAATAACAAAAAATTGAAGGTGAAGAAGAAAGTTTACATATGTGATTGAAGTCCTTGTCCTGAAGACATTAACACTTTAAAGCTACATAGAATCTCTTGTGAAGCGGATAAAAATCCCACCGAATTTATTAAATTTATATTTAACAGCTCATAGGTACATAATATAGTTCTGTGGAACCCTTCCCCTAAAATGGTATGATTAATAATGGTTTTGTATGAGTTGCTGAAAACCTTCTCCACTGAAGCTGCTTTTATTTCCTAAATGAAACAAATTTAAAGTTAAGTGATTAAACCACTAAATGTTTTTCCTACAAAGAATATTCCTGGATAAAACCTGTTTTTTCTTCCTCTTGAAGAATTCTGAATCCATAGAAGACATTTATTTTTTATTATAATCAACTTGTTCTCCAAACAAGGAAATTACAAAATATGAATTCTGCTCTTTGTTGTATGTCTTCAAATAAGAGCTAAACTGTCGAAAATACTTCTGTAAAGTTTCACATTAAGAATATTGAATATTTCATCTTTATAGACAGTAAAATCTTGATCAATGTTTTTTCTTTTTAGGATATATTTGCCAGTGACTGGTACACCTCTTGCAGACTCATTGGAGGAGCTGATATTATTGTGATTAAATATTCTGTCAATGACAAGACTTCATTTCAAGAACTAAAGGACAGTTATGTCCCAATGGTAAAAAAAGCATTAAACCACTGCTCAGTTCCAGTAATAATTTCTGCTATTGGTGCAAGAAAAAACGGTATGTATCCAGCCCCCTATAACAACAGTTAAAATCTCGTTTGGAAGTTAGGTATAATGTAATTTCAGTCGAAGCTGATTGTTTTTCCAAGTTGCTAACAGAAACAATTAGTCTGTCAGCATGACAGTAATATGCACATGTATTATGGCTCTCTAGACTGATGTATTGGCAAGAACATTGTGCTTAGTTAACCCCAGTGATGAAAGGCAACCTCTGCAACAACTCTTCTTGTGGAGCCATCACACATGGGGATTTAATGTAGTATTTTGGATTAAGAAACATATATTTGCATGTATGAGATGAACACTAAGGTAAGAGTTCTCTCTGGTCTTCTCTCAGGTATAAAGTATCTCTAGTGCATGAGATTAAAATTATATCCACCAGTTTGCAAACACGGAAGAGCTGGTGGGAGAAGCCTTGAAATTCTCTGGGATATCATCAGATGAATGGACACACGAGCCTTTCAGGCAGCGCAAGGTGTCACATGCTGCTGCAGCAACAGAGTTGACCTGTTTTGGTAGAGTAGTTATGGTGTAGATATGGTATAGCTCTGGTATAGCTTACCTGTTCACACAACGTCCAGTCTGCTGTGAGAACAGCACAAAATGATTTTTACACAGAATACGTAGAGTTGTTGTTGTTGTTGTGGCTGTTTAAACAATGTGGAAATCAGAGTCTCACATCTGTGTAATGACAGAGTTGACTTACAAAGATCCAGCAGCTGATGGGGGCAATGTAAGGGCAATGAGAACATGTTCACCTTTTGGGTAGATATTAGTAGCTCCTGTCTACAGCAGATAATTAAAGTTCAGAAAGACTACCACAGATGCCTATAGAACAAACTTACAAAATTTATTCTGTATTTTCAGATGTTTTTCCATTGTGTTTTTATTGACTTTCATATGGTCCTTTTAGTCATGGGACCTGATTTTTAATTTTTTCTTTTCCTAAAGCAATAAACGCAAAACATGATGCTGACTTGCCTTTTGCTTTATGACTTGATTGGAACAATTGTTTCTGAGCATCTCTCCTTTTAATGAGTAAGGGACATGCTAGGTGTAGATATAGATATTTATTTTATAATGTACATAGAAATATTCAGCTATATGAAGTGCATCTTCTTTGGACAGAATGCTCAGTTTTGCCAGAGTCTACTTATAGATCTTTTAGCTCAGTGACTGATAAAGGGTGGTTAAATATCTACATAACAATAAATATTCATTTTCTTTCCTTTAGTAATTCACTGATAATGACCAAGTGTTTTTATGCTCTGATATATATGGAGGTAACAAATCTGCCATTCTAAAGGCTAAATTGTTTGTCTTCCCCATGCCTTTTCTTACACTTTGTATTTAAGCACAGGATAGCACCACACTGTGCAACTCTACTCTCGATTCTTTTTTTTTTCTTTTCCACCTATTTTTTTTCTATTTTCGTCCCTATATAATGTGGCCGTGGGAGACATTGGGCTGGATCTCTGGGTTTGCTCTGGGACCTGTCAGAGCAAACTGCTGTGCACACACAGAACTCTTTTGTTTCTAGGAGGTATTTGTGAACACAGCAGTTTGCTCATACAAATTATTAAGATCTTAATCCTCTGTAGTGGTAAATGGTGCTGCCAAAACAAATTAAAAAAAAAAAAAAGCTTTTTTATTAGCTGTTATCCCTAGGTCTAGGCAGAAGACAGTAACGTGGACAGCACATTTGAAAGCACATTTGAAAGCACATCCATGGCTGGCAGGTTCTTACTGGCATTAAGCGAAGCTGAGCCAGGGTGGCTAAAAGATTTTTAACAGTTAACTGCCATAATCTTAAAAATACCTATTTTGGTTTCAAAAAATGTATGCGATATATGTGTAATTGAATCATGTTCCACAGTATGTACATACCCATCACAGTTTGGTCTGGAGTAGAAGTTTTCCCCTTCCATTACTGTGTGTGCTTCCTGCATAGACAGGCCACAATACTCAAGTTTAAGTGTGACATTAATGAGTGTAACACCTCCAGGATAATACAAGACCTCAGCATATAAAGGTACTGAGCTAAAGCCAAAGTTGGCTTCTAGAAGTCTGGCTGGACTTTTCCACCTTAACAAAACCAATAAGATAACACTAATGTAATGTATACTTAGCTTTGTAGAGAGGCTGACGGTTTGAATTGATTAATAAGAAGTTGGGGGAAGGTTTCAGCAATTACAGATTTCTTACTATAAAATTACTACATTTCCATTTCCCTCTTGGTTCTTTTCTAAATCTTTACAATTATTTAGGAATCTAAGAATTCTGGATCATTTGACCAAAATTGCCTTTTTTTCCATCACTTTTTACCCCAGGAGTACCTTGCACCTGTCCCCTGTGCACTTCAGACAGGAGGAGCTGTGTCACAACATCTGAGGGAGTTCAACTTGCAAAGGAACTTGGAGCCACTTACCTGGAACTGCACACTCTTAATGACTTCTACATACAGAAGTACTTTGGAGGAGTGGTGAGTGAGAATCCACTGGGTTGGAAGCAGCATGGTACAGGTGGGAGGTGTACAACTCATGTCAGGGCTTTGGAGAGCAAGTGGAGGCACAGGGCAAGCCCTTCCACCAAGTTCCCACAGATGTGAGGTTTAGGTTGGATATTAGGAAGAAATTCTTCACTGCAAGGGTGGTGAGGCGCTGGAACAGGTTGATCAGGGATTCTGTGGATGCCCCCCGCTGCCCAGGAAGTGTCCAAGGCCAGATTGGATGGGACTTGAAGCAACCTGGTCTAGTGGAAGGTGTCCTTTCCCATGGCAAGGGGATTGGAACTGGGTAGTCTTTAAGGTCCCTTCCAAGCCAAACCATTCTAGGATTCTATCTTTCTGGCTGAATTTGCAGTATCAAGGTTGCAGTTGTAACTAGGAAGGTTTAGGAAACAGATATGTCACAGTGAAATAAGTTTGCCACTTTCACTCAGCAAGATACAATTAGCATCTACAGGGCTTGGTAAATTGAGTATCTTTGTGTCTGTCATTTCTAGGAAGATCCAATATACAAGAATTAACCACCATCATTTGAATAAGTAGTCTTTTAAATAGTGCTAATTCCACCTAAATATGGTAGCTTCTGGTAAAGGAATGTTGGGACTTTGCTGGATGGCTGGTCATAGTGTCAGTATCTTCAATCCTGCATACAGTACCTGCTTATACTTCTTAGTTTGATGTCTCGGTTCTTCTTAAAAAACTGGGATTTTTTAAAATATATATATATTTCTTGTTTTAGCTGGAATATTTTATGATTCAAAGTTTGAATCAGAAGTCATCTGAAAAAATGAAGAAAAGGAAAAAGATTCAGAAGTGCCATCGAGTCCAACCACCTCAGCTTGAACAACCAGGTGCTCACTGATGTCTGATCTCTGTTATCGTTCATTATGTGTGTCGCGCTCCTTGCGCAGTTGACATTTGTAATTGTTACTGTGAGCTGTTCTGTCAGCTATTCTGGTAATGTTGCTCTAGTTGCATCATCTTCTAGTGATGGTTTATTTAATTTGGGGAGAATTGTATGGCAATATACAACATTGCAATGGACTTCTAGTTAATTTTAGATAAAACTAATAGGACTGATTTTCTGGTTGACTTGATGAAATTATGAAAAAATGAATTACTGCAAGCTTTATATGGAAGCTTTACAGACAAATTACAAAAGAATTTATTAGATCATGATTCTACAGTATCATCAAGTAATGTTTTTATTTGCTGCAGATAAAGCAAGGGAGAGATGTTTGGCCTCTGCATATGATTTATGAGCATCTGATGCATTTATTCAGTGAAATAATTACTGACAAGTAATTACCTCTAAATTTGTTGTTGTCTCTTCTTACACGTGCTAGAAATTTGCTCAGACCCCTTAGGTTTGGGATATGCAGTCAAGATTTCTTTATAAACTAACTGCCTAGAGAGGGTTCATGAAAGGATGGACACTTGCTATTAAACTAAATATTTCTTGGTTTTTTTATTTTACTATAACAAGTATTTCTATTTTGAGAGTATTTTACTGAAGACATTCAAATGACATATAAGAAATTTTCTTACTGAATGCTTCTTTCAGAAATTGTCCCACATTTGACCAGGTCAGTTGTCCTGTGGTTAACACTTGCTTCAGTTTTACAGCCTGACTTGTTGTCTTTCACAGAAAAAATGCCAATCCTGAAGGGTGAAGCCTCTCACTACAACACAGACCTGCACAACCTGCTCTGTGGCTGCCAGTGCGCTGACGTGGCCTTCTACCCCGAGGACCTCAGCACAGTGGCGGAGGCCCACAAGGTCATCCTCTGCTCCGTCAGCCCCCTCTTCATGCTGCTCTTCGGGGTGAAGAGCCCTGCCGACATCCCTGACACCTCCATCGTGCAGATGGCGCGGAGTCTCTTTGCTGTGGAGGCGGGAGCTGCCTCCCCCCTGACCCCCTATGGAGCCCCACCCTGCATCCTGCCCATCAGAGTGGTGGTGAAGGACTCTGTCTTCTGCTCTTGTCTCCCTGACATCCTCCTCTTCATTTATTCAGGTACCTGCCAGGAACAGGTCAGGCTGCTCATTTCCTGAGCAGCTGTTGTCTCATGAAGGAGTATGTGCACCACCCCGAGGAACATGTGTTCGCTGTTGCGAGATGATGTTTCACCGTGTTTCTACCCCGTGTATGAACAATGTCTATATGAAAAAAGCACATTGCCTAGATTTAATAAAAATTACATTAGTTGTCATTCTAGATCTACTGAAACTAAGTTAAATTAGTCCATAAACTACATCAGTAATATTCAAAAGCTTTGCCAAAAAAAATCTAGAGTTTGGGACAGTTTCAGATCCCAGGCTTTTAAAATATTTTGAATGATTGCATATTCTAAACCCAAGGATTAAAGTACAGGGTCACTTAAGAAAAGTTAAGTAATTTTTCTGCTGAGTATGGTGCTGCTGAGGAGAAAATGGTGGTAACTGGTTGAAGCGTAGGGAACTGTAATGTTGCATGAGTTTTGCTACTAATTTAGTACAGACAGTGACCTCACCTACCTAATGTCAGCTGTCTGTTAAAATGGCACTGATATTTTTCTACCTTTTCAGCTGTTGCTTAGGAACCTTCAGCTGAAAGTTTGTTTTGTTGTCCTTTTTTTTTTTTTTCAATGCAAGTAGTAAATATCTGTTTATTCTTTGTAAAATATTTTTCAACCTGTCAGTGTATAAGAATATATTTTTTATATTTGCTGAAAGAATTAGTAGGCCTTTTAATGACGTATTCTGATTTTAACTGTAATACTTTAAAAAAAGCCAGAAATAATTATAATGTTAGAGCTGCAACTCTAAAGAATTTCAGTCAATATCTGCATACTGATATTGGCCTGACATATGAAAAGTATTTCTGCCTTAGCAACTGAGACATGAGAACTGGCTTATAAAGGCACAAGAAAGAATCTCAGCTTTCAGTTAGAGATTGTACATTGAAGTTCTTTCCAAAACAGTGCCAAACATAAAGAACAGATACAGAAGTTTTTCAGTGTGAATGGATTTTTTTTTGCTCTTATTTATGGGCGACATGAATAGGGGATTAAAACTGGAAATTCAGCAGGTGATGGATAAGTGCAGTATCTCAGAATCATAGAATCATAGAATAGTTTGGATTGGAAAAGATCTCTAAGATCATCTAACCCAGCACTGCGAAATCACCACTAAACCATGTCCCCAAATGCCACATCTACACATCTTTTAAGTCACTCCAGGGCTGGTGACTCCACCACTGCTCTGGGCAGCCCATTCCAGTGCTTGACAACCCCTTAGGTGAAGAAATTTTTCCGATACCCAATCTAAACCTCCCCTGGCATAACTTGAGGCCATTTCTTCTTGTCCTGTCACTTGTTACCTGTGAGAAGAGACTGTCAGGGGATTGTAGAGAGTAATAATGTCCCCACTGAGCCTCTCTTTTTCCAGGCTAAACATCTTTGTAAACATCTTCATCTGTTATCATGTACAACTTCTGTCTTCTGCCTTGTGTGCACTAATTTTATTTTTTGCCATCCTTTATGTCAACCAAGGGGGTGTGAAACTGTGTAGTTGCAGGCAAAACTCTGCTTTAGGTCTCAGCTCCATCCTGAGAGACATTGCCAAAAGTCACTGGTGCCTCTAAAAGGTAATGAGATCTTTTGAAGACACTTGAGGCACAGGCTGAGAAGAGATAAATAACATCATGAGTTTTCAGCTTTCCAGGACTATGTCATGATGCCCATGAGGTTTAAGCACTTACCACCCCTATGGTGTAGATGGGAGCTAAAGAACTTCCCCAAATATTCAAACATTGAGGATTTTTTTATTCTGAATCTCTACTTGCAATATGTAGTGACTGAGCTGGGAGGAATTCAGAAATTGAGTTTGAAAGCGAGATGCTCTAGTCTGTTGGTACTTGACTGCACTCTGTAAAAGTACCATGGAAGTTTTATTGTGCGAGAAGTGCATCTTGCCCTTCATAAACACCAAGATTTGGCTGAGTTATGTGCAACAAAGTAAGGTTTCTGCAGGATCTGTTTGGTGTTGGTATCATCTTTGCCTGCTGAGACCTGTGCCTTGTTGATTTATGACCCATCTCTTCCTGGTCTTGTTACAGGTGCTTTCCAGTGGGAACGATTAGAAGAGGATATAAAAAAGAAGTTGAAGGATCCAGAAAAAACTGAACAAGTGCTTGAGAAAGTCAAATGCATCCTGAAAACTCCAGGGAAGGTACATCTAACTGCCTTGGGGTCACTGTTAGTTACTTAAGTCTTCAAAAATTACTTTGTAGACAAGGTTTCCTTGTCAGTCTTTGTTTTAAAGTGATTTTGGCTTACAAAATGTAAGCCAAAAATGTACTGTGTCATCAGTGGGTAGGCAGGCACATACAACACGGAAACATGGAGATGCTGATGCAATGTGCAGAATTAATGTAATCAGTAAAAATCACACAAGTGGGTATTCTAAAAGGATTACTTGTATTCACAGCTTTGCACGTTGTCTGACAATATGATTATGTGTTGCTAATTCCCATGTAATAGAGGCTGCCCAGGAAAGCTTTACTTTCCTGAACATATGCCAAAAGTTGGGCTTCTGCAGTAGATCCGGAGGGGTGGTTTCTCTTACAAGTGCTGTGATGTGGAAAGCTGTCTATATCTCAATATCTTTAATTCAGTAGATGACTTCACAGTAAAATGTAATTTATGTCACATTATTAAGTTAAGAAAAAGTTACAATATAGAGCTAGTTTTAACAGTCATTTGCTGGTGGAGCTTATATATTCCCTGATAATATAGAATTGGCTCCAAGTATTTCCATCTGTCTAAGTTGGAACCCATCTCAGACTCTCTTGAGATAACACAAAATAAAGTTACTGAGCTGTTTTTAGCTTCTGATTGCTCAGCTGTAGGCTTGCCAGTCCTAAGTGTTTGCAACTAAAACGTACATAGGTTTGGACTTGGAAAGGACTGAAAACTTTCAAGATAATAAACCTGAGCTGGTTTTGTTTCTTCTGGGTTTTTTAATGCCTTCAGACTACTTTTATTACACATTAAAACATTTTTATTTGAAGGCCAAAAGAATGAATTGTAATTTTAAAATTTTAAAAAATAATAAATTTAATATTTTACCTGTAAATTCAACCTCATCTGAATTCCACGTATCACAGTCTAGCAGTGTGATTTTGATGCTGTTCCTTTCAGCAGCTTTAGATTCCATTTTTAAGGTAAGAAAATCAAAACTGAAAACTAACTGGGAGTATGCTGGGTTTCAGAGAGTCTCGACACTGGTGTGCCCAGATTATTGTAAGAGAACACTGTGTTCCCAGCCTGTGAGCTTACCCTGCCTCTGTGGAGGCAGTACCACGGCAATATCAAGAAACACACAACTTTCAACTGCCTCGTATCTGTGCACAGCATCGTGCTGGGGGTGGACGTGTGTATGTGTGTCCCACCCTTCTCCCCCCCCACCCCGAGTCCTTAAACCTTGTGTAACTGCAGTGTTGGGACTGAACAGGGAGTGTGTGAAAAAGTGTGGAGTCCAGGAAACTCTGATGTACCCAAGCCTGCCTGGAGGCACTGGATGAGGGAGTTTTGTCACAGATCAGAGGACAAGGTGAGAGCTGGAGTGTGACTAGGTGGGACAGAGCCCACTTGGAGCTGCTGCACTGTAGGGAATAGGGAAATAGATGATACTGGTGATTGCAGAGGAATGCATGTGAGAGAGGCTGTTATTTAGTTTCCCCATATAAATGATGTCCTGTAGTCTTTAATTCTGTGGGCAACTACACATGACAGTGCTTTATTTCCAATTTATTTTTCAGCAAAACTCTGTAAAGGTCTGCAGGTCTCACCAGATAAAACAACTGTATAATACTTCCCTCAAGCTGTTCTTTAACACACCTGTCCTAGCTGATGTCATCTTCAAAATACAAGGTAAGGCACCTCTGTTCCCCTTGGCATGGGCACCACTGTGACTCCAGCCTTTATCCTTTATCCCCTCTGCAGGAGTGTGGCACATGGAGACCACCGTGTTCTGTGGCATCACAACTAAGGAAATTAGCTATCACTGTGGAAAGCAGAGAAAGCTTGTCCCTGTGGATGCCCTACAGCAATGTCCATTACCAGCATGGTTTGTCTGGGCTGCACCTGTACGAATGGCCTTTGTCTGTCATGGTAGACTTTGTGCCTCCCTGATCGACATGCACCCCTTGGAAGCTTAATAAAATGAGGGATGTGCTGTGAGAATAGCAGTGCCACAGCACCAAGGCAGCAAGGCTAAACCAGGGATTGAACAACAGCATGAGTGACTTAATTTCATTTTGTTCTATTCTATTATATTCTATTATATTTTGGTTTATTCTCATTATATTCTATTATATTTTGGTTTATCCTGTTTTGGTTTGGTTTTTTTTTTCATCTTGTTTTACTTTGTTTTATTTTATATTATGTTGTTTTGTTTTATTATACTTTGTTCTATTCTACTTTGTTTCATTCTATTTCATTTTGGTTTATTTTATTTTATTTTACTTTATTTTATTTTATTTTATATTTATCTCACCCTTGTTCCCACCTGCACAAGGACTGGAACATATTCAAGGGCTCTGCCCTGCGTCACACTTTGGACAGTCATGGTCTCCACATCTGTGCTTAGTGTCCTCAGTGAAAAGACCAGAGATGGTGGTTTTTAACTCCACCTTCCCTCTCTCCATCTCAGGCTGCTGCTGGCTGTGGATGTGCCTTTCATGTCCCTCCAGAAGCCAACAGGGACTTGCTTCCTCAGGTTTTACCAGCATGGGCAACCCAGCAATGCACATACACATGCTGGAATTTGATGACCTGCAGATCTGGTGCCATCAACACCCACCACATTTTACTGCCCAACATGCTGCAGTGTCATTTCTGGAAATTAAATGTGTTTATCCTTAAAATGAAAGATACAGCAGGAGAAATGTGTTGCATACTTTTGTGATAATACAAATGAGATGGGTTTTAAATGCTTAATGGTTTTCTCAATTTGTCTATACCCGCCCTTCATGCAGAAATGGTCTTTTAGAATTAGAGAGTTATTTAATTACTTTCAGCTTTATATCTAAATACTTAATTCATGAAGCATTAATTCCTCAAGCGTAAGCACACAAGGACAAGCGGAGTCTTTCTAGGTGTTCTGTTTAATATGCAGGGAAAAAAACCACAAAAATATCTTTGAAAATGAGGACAGTACTGATGTTGAGTGCAATGACATGAACAATTCACCTCATTGTCCCACTCCTGAGAGAGGCTTTGTGGGAAGTTGATGAAATCAGGACAACCCTATATATTTTACAGAAAAAATCCAAATGAATGTGTTGGCAAGTAATTTAAAAAAGCATGTGTATCCACTAGTAAAATGTGAAATGTTTTTCCTAGGACTTGATACATCTTCCAAACCTTTTTCTCTAATTCATCAACTACAATAACTGTATTAAAATTAAATAACTACTAAGAAACGGAAGGCTTTAGTCTTAATCAGACAAATAAATTTGTAAGTTACCAACTAATTCCTTGAATACTGATCATTGCTCTGAGCTTTTTTTCTAGCTTACAAAAGTACTTGGGAGCCATGGAAGATGGGAGCCCATTATGTTTGTGTTAAGACACATAACGTGACTGAACCTCCTAATTAGTAGATAGATGTCCATTTACATGCACATATAGAACTGCATGTATTCTACATCACAGCAGCAACATATATATTACTTGTGTTATGACCACAAACAAGTGTTCTCTCCATATGGAAATATATGTATTTTGTGTGCAGCTTAGACTTTTTGGAAGTAGAAGCACAGGGGAAAAGAAATAGAACAAAAAATTTAAAAGCTGCCAGATTACTTCAAAGAATTAGATTGGTGCCAGTGTTGTGGTTAAAGAGAAAATGAAGACAAAACTTCTTTGTAAGTATTTCCAGTATATTCATCTTGCATGTCAGTTAATCTGTTTATTATAATTTGTGTTAAAACATTTCCACTGAACTATAAAAGCTCATTTTCGTTTTAGTTGCTGTCCTGGCACTTGCTTGGCACTTCCTTGAACACAGACAGGACTGCTCAGTTCAGCTGGATTCTGCAGCATTCTGAGTGTCAGGGCTGGCAGCACTTTCATTAAGAGCCTATAAGGCCTCTACCACACAGGGCTCTTGGCCTCACTAGGTTTTCTAAATGTTGTAGTAAAGCATAGAATTCACTTGCAAATAATACAAAATGAATAAATTTCTGGAAAAATTCATTAGCCTTTTTTTTTTCCTAAGACAACCATCTGGAAATTTACTTAGGCAAAATACTTATTCCAGTTAAATTTCTACTTATTTACTGGACTTAGTGGAATTTTGTCTGGAATAATTTGCCTTTCTCTGCTTTGTGTGGTTCTTCTGGTGCACACGTTCCTTACCGAGGGGGGTACCAGTGAACACAAATTACTCATAAAATCATAGAATCATTTAGGTTGAAGAAGTCCCCTACGATCATCGAATCCAACCAGTAATCATTTGCATAACAATTCATAGCATTGCATATTTGCGCAAAGGACTGGAGGTTCAGTTACTGTGAACTGATTTATTCTATTTTGTCTCTTTTGGTTTAGTCTATTTCATTCTTGTTTAATAATTTTTTTACTTTGTTTTTATTTTATTATTTTATTTTTTTATTATATTTTATTTTTTTCTAACTCATGCTGCCACCTACACGAGCACAGGACATCTCAAGTACAGTGGTGTCAGAGTTTTTGGTGGTTGAAACCCCATTTCTGGCAGATAAAATTTTGCCCTATTTGTAGCATCTGGTGTTGGAAGCAGGCTGTCATAATAAATTTGGCATTCCATTTTGTTTGCTGCTGGCTACTAGGCAGATGTGATCATCTTGACCAGTGTGAAGTGAGTGTGTTATTAGTTACTGTTAACTTCAAACACTTTAATCATGTTCAGTGAAGTGAAGACCTTCTAAGAAAGCATAAGCTTTAAAATAAATATATGTGTATATAAAATCATTGCATATTTTTATCTTGCATCTTGCAGGTGCAACTGTACCAGCCCACAGGGCAGTTCTGGTGGCTCGCTGTGAGGTTATGGCAGCTATGTTTAATGGTAATTATCTAGAGGCAAATAGTGTCCTAGTTCCAGTGTATGGGGTTTCCAAAGACACTTTCCTCTCCTTTCTAGAGTATCTTTATACCGACTCCTGCTGCCCAGGTAAGAAAATTTTAAAATACGTGTATACCTGTGATTCATTTTTCCACAGTGGGGCATTGACAGAGAGTAATGTAGCAGCATTTCTTCCAGTGAAAAATGCCAGTATTTTAATGTGCAATGTCTCAAGAAAGAGAACTTGTTCATATTGTGAAATAAACAAATCAGTCTTATTCTAGTAAAACCAGCTGTAGGCAGAACAAATGGTACTAATAAAATTATATGTTTGATTTGTACTTACTTGACTCAAAAATAAGTGAAGTTTCATTCTTAATCCTTTACAATATTTGGAATTTTCTTTCTACATCACAATAATACTGCTTTCTAGTCCTCTTTCTGTGTTTTATTTCAAAATTGTCATTTTTTTAACATGCATATAGTTAACTTTCATATAAACAAGGTTAAATTGCAAGAATAACTTATTTATACACGTGGATATCTTATTTGCATGTAAAACCAGGGGGAAAAAGTATGTCAACTGGAGCATTTGGCAAGTAAAATTGAGCTGAAATATTCTTTGTGTCTTAACCTATGTCTTCTTTTATGAGAAGAAAATCTACATACTAAGTATGAAATATTATTTAAAACCAGCTGATTTTCCCTTAATATAATGAATGAATTAATAACATTGTGACATGTATTTTTGCCTTTTTTTTCTTTGGAAATAATTCTACTTTATTCTTACGTTTTCTATAGGTTTCTCTTTTCACTCAGCCTAACATTTCCTTGTCCATCAGTTCAAATATGCAATCAGCATTATATATTAAAAAAAATGGTTGTTGTGTTTTATCTTTACCTTTTCACTGTATTTGCTTGTAAAAGTGTCATAGAAGTACTCTTATGAAAGAGAAATTGGAACACTAAATCCTTATTAATCATAAATTAAGTAGATCAGCAGCACTTGACTCAGCATCTTCAAGATATAGGATATGGACAGGAATTTTTTACACCTCCCTGCTAAAAAGTTCTAAACACTCTTTTCTCCTTAATGAAATAGCTTACATGAAAAAAGAAGGTGATATAGCGAACTTAAAATTGTAATACTGAAAAATAAAAGAAGATGATCACAGCAGTTTGATTTTCTGTTTGTTGCTACGTATTTAAAGGATGACTTGGCAAAAAGTAGCTTTGATCAACTTGTCAGAAAGGTAAAATACATGTAAGTGTATGTTTTGATGTTTTTCAGCCAGTATTCTCCAAGCTATGTCTCTGTTGATCTGTGCAGAGATGTACCAAGTAATGAGACTTCAGCATATTTGTGAGCTTTATATTATCACTCAACTCCAGAGCATGCCTAGCAGGGAACTGGCATCCACCAGTCTCAGTATTGTTAACTTGCTCAAAAAAGCTAAGGTATGTGTTGTATGTATCAAACAAGAATATGTATGTTGACTCTAATTAGTTGTTTACTTGCTAAGATGTTTAAGATCTTAATAATATCTTTTCCTGTTTGTTCTCTGTTTTCCACCTGTTTACATATTTCCATCAATGATTTTTCATTTGGTTTCTCCCACAGTCAAAGCTTTATTTAGTAAATTGCTATATTGACAGGGAAAATCTGAAATACTTTGACATGTGAGATGTGGTTGTGTTTTAGACACGCTAGCATTACATGTTCTTTGTGTTTCCTTTCTTCTCACAGTTTCACAATTCTGATTGCCTTTCAACATGGCTTCTTCATTTTATTGCCACTAACTACCTCATCTTCAGCCAAAAACCTGAATTTCAAGAACTTTCAGGTAATTTATCTGTTAGTTCTGAAACAATAAATGTTTTACTGTTCTACTTAGATCAGAGGTCATGTTCTGGACAATACCACTTGCATGAGAAGATGATCAGGGTTTCCTTAGGCTATACAGTCTACTCCAGTGGGATGGTTCACCACCCTGCTGTGGGACCAGCAAGTGACAGAGCCAGCACTGCATCACCTTGTCTCTTGGTTCCTATTCTGATGGCCAGGTTCCCATCCATAACTGAATTGACTGGAACATTTTGGACATTGTATGCCAACCTCTTCACATTATCTATATAATTTTCTTTAGTTTGTACATTTGAATCAAAGTAATGGGTCATTTTAGTACATCCTCTTTAAGTGTTATAGTTTTCCTTGAAAAAGATAGGATTTTTACAGTACTCTCCAGCAGATCTCATGAAATCAAACAACTGTTGTCCAGGGAACTGATATGCATTTTCCAAAAGAGTGTATTTGCTTCCTGATGTGTAACTCTAGAAAATCGGAGTCCCTCAAAGGCCCGGGAGGCTGACTCTGGAAAATCTGGGGTAGAGGGATGAAAATGCATCTTCCTGCAAAGGCAAAGGGGATTCATCTAAATAATATGGCTAAAAAATTCTTTTACCTGATTTTGTCAGTGACAAAACCCACATGCAATAAGAGATTAAAATCTTGCTGAATTCTTAACTGTGCTCCTCACCTTGCTTTTTGTAGTGATCTTAGGACCAACTGTTGGCAGAGGAACTAACATACCCTGCTTCATAGTGTTGCAGCATTGAAAAATCCTTGCAATTGCCTGCCACTCATGGTTATCCTCTAGGTATAAAGAATGCTCATCTTTAGGAATACCTCTCTGCTCTCTTTAATGAGTATTATACTAATTTTTAAAAAATAAGCCAACTTGTTAATTGCTAACTAATAGCAAGGAAACATCATGTGGTAACTCGTATGTCTGGGCTATAGCAGAGCTCGTGCAAAATGGGCAGCGCTTGTCTTTATTTCTCTTGTTGTATTTATACCTTGATTTTTTTTTAAGCTATTTTAAAAGACTCTTTGCAACCTGTGCACTTGTGCTGTATGTCTGCATATTACATTTAATTCCTCTTATTGCTTTGTCTAGTGGAGGAGCGCAATTTTGTAGAGATGCACCGATGGCCTTCCAATTTGTACCTGAAGCAGCTTGCTGATTACAGGAACTATATCCACTCTCAGAAGTGCCACTGCACAGTAATGTAAGGAGACTGAGCACATGCAAAGTGCATCTTGACTGTGAAATCTCGGATTGGGGATTATACAGAATATAAAAATCATGTCAAGAGTGAAACCAGATGCTGACCTCCTCTGGAACGCTCCATGCCATGCTGTAGTGCACTGACAGACATTCTTCGTTTTGCTGATAAATCATTCTATTTTTTTTCTTAAATCATTGCTAAATGCATCTTGAAGATTTATTTCAAGCACAAAGACTTCCTATCTGTGGGGATTAAATGTAGTATGGGACAGCCTCATCTGTTCCACCTTCTAATTTCTTTATTGTTTATTTTACTGATTTTCATGGTTATTTATGGCTGCTAAACTCGAATCTGTTGAAAAAAAGACTGGTTTTGTAAATCTGTTTATAATAGCACAGTAGCAGCGCAGGGAAGCTGAGAAGCCAAATCGTAAATTCCTTATACATTTCAGAATGCAAAAATTTATTGCAGCATTTGTTGGTTTGCAAGATAAAGGATAGGCTTAATAAGCATTTTAGTTACTATTAGTTGTCTATTTCAAGATTAGTCTGTAGTTCTCTTACAATCCTGTGAGTAGATACTTTAATCCTAGAGAAATGCGTATACATCACTGTATTCTCTAGTGCCTCCCAAATGTCTAAAAATTGAAATAATTTTTCCTGCCAGTAAATAGGAGAAGAAAGCCTGTTTTAACAATCTGTAAACACCTTTGTTAGTGTGGTCGTGTTATATTTTTTTCCCCATGAGGAATAAAACCAAGGAGAACTACATCTACTCAGAGCGTACCCGTACGGTACGATGGACTGGGAAGAAAGGGATATGGGTCAACAGCCTTTTTGGGAGAAAACTCACTGGCAGAGGTCCCTTTTTAGGGAGAAGTGGGTCTTGTAATCATTGGCCCCCACAACAGCTGACAGCACAAATGTCAGGTGTGCTGGTCTTGGAGGAGATAACCCTTGTGGATACACCAGATGGGCAAGGGGTGTCAGCTTCTGTGGTGGGACTTTAAGCTTGACCCTCCCCATTGAGGACTCAGTTCAAGTTGAATTATCTTCATGTGCTCAAAAGCTACACCGTGTGAAACAAACCTGGCTGTGGATTCTTTGATATAACAGAGATATCTTGAATATTCTGACTGGGATGACCCTTGCAGATGCTAATATTGCTTTCTTGACCAAAATTATGTCATGCTACTAACTTATGGGTATACATAGTACTAATGCCAAAATGAACCCAACCTTTACATGGGTACCTACCTGAGCACAGTGGCTTTTCTATTACAAAATCTTATCCAGGAACTATATGCTTTGTTATCATGCTCGTACTTTCAGTTTTGCTTTTTCATTTTGGTATGTAGTCTGAGCCTAGAAAGATAAAGGAAATACACAGAAAAAACTCCTTAGTGTTTCCTCGGTATTCACAGCACACCACATCAAATGTACCTGGAAACTGCACCTGTGAGAAGAAGGTGGAAAAGCAAATTGATGGAGCTGAACCTTTTTCTTTGACTTTAGCTGCAAGACTTTTTTTTATATTTCAATACAGTTTTATAAGTGAATTGTTCTTTTGAAATTCTATGCTAGAGTCATAGAGATATTTTTTTTTCTGGTGATACTTTGCAGAGCTTTAGAGGGTACTTCCTTTGTTATTTTTGTATACACAAAAAAAAAATAAAAAAGAGCTTGTAACTCAGCTGGCTGCTGCAGGCTCAAAATTCTGAGGTTACTTTTATGCAAGAATGATAGTTTATATTTTTTTTTAAAGCTTTACATCTGAAGATCCTAAAATTCTTTAAAAGTTGAGATATGCTTATCTATGCCTTGCATATAAGGAGTCTGAAAGATAAAGAACTACATTGCCTTTTCAAGATCACTAAAGAAAACTGAAATCATTAAAGATAAAAATGAGTGGGAAACTTACATGTATGGAACTTAAATGTGGAAAAGATAATTTTTGTCATTATATAGCTATAAAAAAGCGTAAGTTGGGGTTATGTGTGATACGAATAAAACTGTAAGTTTTTTGACGCTTAAAGCCTTGGACAACAACGAGCATACAGCAGAACTCCAGCTTGCCTGGACACCTGATAGCACTTGCTTCTATCAGCAGCCAGCTCAGTTATTAAAAATGGGGACTATATTGCCTCCTACTGGTTTCCTGTGCAGAACTGATACAAAAGCTGTATCAGCTCTGTGACGGCTTGTCTGAGTTGCATGTAGTCCTGAACTTTTAACACTTTGAAAGCTTTTCCAGGTGTTTTGCTAGAAGTCAGTCTGTTGCCAATGATTTGTGTATGGATAACAGTAAGAAAATACTGGTTTTAACTGTCTGTAAATGTTTTATAGGCGTTTAAAAATAGGCTTAATGGAAATAAAAACACTACATATCCAACCCAGAGAAATATTTTGCTATTATGCATTTTAGCCAGTGGTAGCCACAGGTTTTATACAGAGAAGTCATGTAGTGTAAAAATATTTATTATTTATTCACAGATTGATGCATACTACTATTCAGACATTAAAACAGCTTTCCATTTTACTCAATGTCCCCATAATGCTGCCTGTGTCAGGTGCAGATGTGCTGTACTTGCAGACATAGACCATCTGATAAATTTTAATTCTTAGAAGAATTCTTACTATAAATTCTTATTTTCATTCTCGATGATGATTTTCTGTAGAAATGTATTTATCATAAAGATATTTTTAAACCTGATACTTTAGCATTCAGAAGCATGACTGAAAATACCTCATGATGCTTTGTGAGTTGCTGGTGGTGGCTGTATGTTATAGAGGCTTTAGGACCATATCCATCATGGATAGTTGGGAATTAGAGCAGTAATGGATTTGGTATTTATTAATAACTTTGTATGGTATAAAGTAAAAATTGCTATGATTTAAACCCCCACACTTTGTACTATGATACAAAGTAAAAATCAGAAACCAACTAAAAAAAAAGTTATTTAAGAAAATGGTTTTGAAAAAGTAAAATATCTGAGGAATGCCTGCCTCCATTGGTTCCAGCATCTCCCAAACTCCCCTGGCACTGGCAGCATTGGAATCAGAGAAGGTCAGTGGTGAATTTGGGTGCCCTTAGGCAGCCCTTGCAGCATTAGAGATTATATATTCAGGCTTAAGTTTAAGTGGAGGTGTGACTCCTGAGTCCTTCATTAGAGCTAACTCTCAAAATCCACTTTTAGAAGACAGTTTTTTGAATAATGGATTACACCGTATAATTGTTGCTGTACCAATATGTGTGTGTGTGCTTGTCCCAAACTAAACTAAGCTTTGTAGAGATCAATGAAGTCTGCCTTCTGCACTAATAATATATTCCACATGATAGTTAGAAAACCTCTGCTATCGTCCTTAGGCCATGGTGCATTTGATTTGAAAAAAACAAACAAACTGTTAGAAAGAAGAACGACTATTTTATCAGGCATCCTGAAACTCCTGTATGTTTTTCTTTTAAAATACCCTGCCTAAATTACATATTTTTAGAATGAACATGTAAAATTTTGATACAAAATAAAAAATTTTCTCTAGTCTCTCATGTAGTTATTTACCTATGTGCATTAGAATATTTGGGAGTTGCACAGGAGATATTTTTGTAGCTTATTAGAAATATAGAACCATAGAGTGGCTTTGGTTGGAAAGGACTTAAAGATCATCTTGTCCCAACCCCCTGCCATGGGTGGGAACACCTTCCACTAGACCAGATTTCTCAAGAGGGAAGGTGTGAGGTTTGCCAGCAAGAGAAGTGCTGGCAGTGACTGAAGGCAGAACATCATTTCCCAGCAGTAGATGGATGGGGGAGCCCATGGTTAGTTTTTGTCTTTGACTGTTTTTGTTTTTTTTTTTAATTTATATCTGCACTGTTCTGACTACATTTGCTGTAATTCTGCAGTCTGAACCTGCCATTGCAAAGAGAGGAATTCAGCATGTCTTAGATAACTTAAGCTGACTCTTGCAAATTTAGAAGTTCCTGATGGGGGTCAGGTAGAGCAGCCACTCACGTTGGCATCTTGGAGATTTGGCAGTAGGAAGAGTTTTTTGGATTCTTGACGAACATTGAGAACATGCTCATGCTGCCTCATCCAGTTCTGCCATGGAAAGAGGGACTGCACCAAGGGGAGGTCCTGTCAAGGATGAGTCACCAAGGGGCCAGGTTGACACAGTGCCGCAAGGCTGGGCTGGGTTCTTCCCCTTAGGCTTTGTCTTCATAGCGAATTCTAAAGGTTAAACTTCTCACTAAAAATCAAAGGACTTTCACACTTTACAAAAAACAACAGCTTGAACTCCATAAGTGATAACTGAACTTAAAAAAAACCCAAGAAAACTCATCCCCCACACAAATGCAACAATGGCATACATCACCAAGTGTGAGTATTTCAGGCATGTTTTCTGCTCCACAGGAGACTTCGTTAGAGATGATGCTGAGACAATGAAACAAACTGCTAATGCTTTCTGTACATCAGGTATTCCCTGAAGTTTGAGTAATGCCTGACTGAGAAAGCATGCATTTATGTGCACTGCCCCCTCATTATTAAAGACCATCTCAATCTGTAATCATCACAAAATTCAAGAGGGACAGCTGCAAAATAGGAATAGAAATAGGAGACTTGGTTACTGTTCCAGTAACTGTCTAATGACAGGTTGCAAAGTCCAAAAGGAGCCTTGTGAATCTGGGTCCTGCAGTCAAGACTTTCTGAAAAGTTTCTGCCAAATGGAAGGCACTGAACTGATGATAAAAGTGAACAATGGTTTTGTTCCATATTCTTCTCAGCCAAAAGAGACTCAAAGTCCAGACCTGGGCAAATTCCAGCATAGCAGCCTGCGGAGGTCAATAAACTAACACGATCCCAGTTTGGAGGCAGAAACTGGAATGGTTTATTCGTACAAACCCTGCTATTTTTATAGATCTGAGGTACTACATAATCATGAGGGGGTTTGCATATTCATTCTGTTAGAACTGCGGACTTTACAGAGATGAGGTAAAAAAGGGGAAAACCCAGGTTTACAAATCTTGGGGTCTTACATCATAGGGGAAAACCCATTTTATCTTAGGGGAATTACAGGGGGGAAAAAGGTATTCAGGTTTACAGAATGCACAGGATCCAGGGAATGCAAAGGCAGAGATAAAGCACAATAAGTCTTCTGCACAGGTTTGATGAAATCAAGGTGTGGACTCTGGCTTGGGCAGGGCACTCCACACCGATGATATCTCATTTACTTCTTAAACTGAGGTTTTTTCCTCAGCTCTCGTAGCCCACAGCCTTTTGCAAAGACCACTCAAATCCCTCTCTGCAGATATTATATTTTGGGATCCAACAAGCAGCCACATGCACAGCTGAAAGCTGTTTATAGCAGTTGGTGAGGGTTCAATCAATCTCCTGTCCAAAAAAACCTGAAATACTGCCACCATTTTACAATCATTTCCCTTCACGTGGGGAGAGAACACTTGGGATGCCTACTGAAAACAGAGCTTGCAGGGTCAGACAGACTGGGTGTACTTCTAGGAATTATTTCAGGATGATGTGGAGTGATCAGAATTGGTTTAAGAACTTATGAGAAGATGCTACTCCTCTTGTTATTTTCAACAGTTTTATTTTCAGAATGAAAGCTTATGCTTCCTAGGATTTTGAGTGTGGTGTGGCTTCTTGTGATTGGCAGTAGATGGGTACCAAGTCCCTGAGAAATCTTGTCAAGTG